CTCAGGCTGCGCTGGCTGCGTCCCTTCTGTTGCTGTTCTTCCTACACTCTTGGCAGCATCTGGGTGGAAGTTCTATTGACTCAGGACTTCAGAAAACTAGTCCAAGAGGTTCTTCAGGTAATTTTCCACATTGGCGCCTGAGAAATAAGGGAGAGAGTGAAGCCTCAGAGAGCACACGTCAGGCGGCTCCTGAGCAGCTCTCCCGCTCCCATGTCCTCGTGACATGTCCGTCACCAGCCAAGGTCATCCAGCCAAGGTCCTGCGTGGAAGGATGGGGTCACCCACCCTTCCACGGCACCGTGGGTTTCCCAGTCTTGTCTGTGACTGGGGTGGACGTGTGTGCCGGCTCGCACCATAAGTGGCCCCCAAACCCAGGCCCCCTGCACTGGCTCCAGAACGAGGGAGCCTGGTTGGGCTGAGCTGCAGGCCGGGACTTGGAGCTGTAGGATGTAGCCTCTCCGTCTGGGGCCAGAGAGCCCAGTTCCTGGGGACCCTGGTCTTGACCAGGGAGAACAAGGCAGGGACACCATCTGCTCGATAAGCTGGAGGTCTCCAACAGCCCCCGACAGCCGGCTGAGCCCCCAACAGCCCCCCACAGCCGGCTGAGCACCGCTCTGAGAGGCGTGGGAAGCGCAGTCCCACCCGTGGCCCTGGGAGACCCCATGCTTCCCACCAACTGGTCTCATGGGGCCTCAGGAGCCCAAAGCCACTTTTGGGGGCTGGTCTGTTTCTTAATCCCGTCACCACAGCAATCCTCGTGGTGCTCTCTGGCTTTTTGTTCACTGTAGAGGCGGCTCTGGAATGTTCTTGTGGAATGCTCCCCTGGCCGGCTGGGAGCCTCTTCCCGGCCAGCCCCAATTCTCTCGAGAAGGCCAGGACAGCCAAGAGTGGAGACGCCACACACTGAGCTCTGGGACTGGACACTGGAGCCCCCATGGGCCACACCACACAGGCCAGCGTCTCAGGGCCTCTCTGGCCACCTTGCTGTCTGGGGAGAGCTAGGCACACATGTTTCCTACTGTGGTCTCCTTAGGTTGCCACTGGGCACCAGAGGTTGTTCTAACTACTGCCAAGAAAAAGCTTACAGCCAGTACAGAGCCAAATGCTGCAATACGTTCCCCAGCCGTGCCGGCCAGGTTGGCGTCCTCACCACTATCCAGTCCAGGCAGGGCTGGGCTGCACAGGAGGCTGTGACAGACGGAGAGTTTCATATCTTCTGATTGTGCACCATGGAGATGGAGCTGGGACGAGTGTGACTGTGGGCTCTGGAGATGGAGCTGAGGTGACTGTGCCATGGAGGAGGAGAGCAGATGATCTGATTGAGGGCTCTAGAGATGGACTGGGGAATGGATTATGCTGTAGACACATTTATGGTCTGCTTACATTTCAGAGTTTTGCTTTTAGGAGAGAGCTGTAATAATTTTGTTTGTCTGTTGTTTTTTTGTTTGTTTTTAGGATACTATTTATTGAGAATGCTTTTCTGTGTGAAGCGCTATTCTGTGCGTTTAGGACATTTAGTAGCATCCCTGCCACATATGCACCAGATGCCAGTAGTACCCTCACACACCACACACACATACACACACACACACTTAGGACAGTCAGAAGAGTCTGCGGACATTGCCAGATGTCCCCTGGGTGCCAAATCATGCCTGTTGAAAACCACTGCATTAAAGAAAAGGGAAATTTGACCCCTGCCTCACATAGCACAAAAAGTTAACTCTGCCAGAGTATATATTTAAATCTAAAGGTAACCTATAAAGCACTTAGGAGACGATATAAAACCACAGCCTGTGGGCCAGTGTGAGCCACCACCTGTTTTTGTTAATAAAGCTTTATTGGCACACAGTACACCCATTGATTTACTGTTGTCTACAGCTTTTTTGTGCTGCAACAGCAGAGCTGAGTGGTGGATACATGCCCACTGGCCCTGAAAACCTAAAGTATTTACTATCTGGCCTTTACAGAAAAATTTTGCTGAGCCCTGTGATAGAAGAGTGTTATCATGACCTAGGGTAGAGACATATTTCTTAAATAAAACAAAATGCTCTAATGATAAAGGAAAAGATTTAAAAATCATGCTGCATTAAAATCAGGAACTTTAAGAAGAACAAAGTTGGAGGATGACGGTACCTGACTTAAAGACTTCCTGTGAAGCTACGGTAATCGGTACCGCCTGGTATTCCCAAAAGAATAGACACACAGATCAATGGAGCAGAGAGTCCAGAAACAGAACCACATAAATAAAGTCAACTGATCTTTGACAAATGAGCAAAGACAATACAATGGAGCAAGGGCAGTCTTTCAACAAATGGTGCTGGAACAACTGGACATCCACAGGCAAAAAAAAGGAATCTAGACACAGACTTTACACCCGTCACGAAAATTAACTCAAAATGGGTCACAGACCTAAAGTAAAACACAAAACTATAAAACTCCTAGAAGACAACATAGGAGAAAATCTAGATGACCTTGGGTTTAGTGATGACTTTTTAGATACAACACCAAAGACACAATCCATGAAGGAAATAATGGATGAGCTGGCCTTCATTAAAAGTAAAAATTTCTGCTCTGTCAAGACACTGTCAATAGAATGAAAAGACAAGCCACAGACTGAGAGAAGATATTTGCAAAAGGTATATCTGATAAAGGACTGTTATCCAAAATATACTAAGAACTCTTAAAACTCAACAACTAGAAAATAAACAACCCAGTTAAAAAATGGGCAAAAGATATAAAAAGACACCTCACCAAAAAAGATACACAGACCCCCAAAAAGCCTATGAAAAGATGCTCAGCATCACATGTCATCAGGGAATTGCAAATTTAAACAACAATGAGATACCACCACACACAGATTGGAATGGCCAAAATCCAGAGCACTAATAACACCAAATGCTGGTGAGGATGGGGAGCAACAGGAACTCACGCGTTGGTGGGACTGCAAAATGGTGCAGCCACCTTGCAAGACAGTTTGGCAGTTTCTTACAAAACTAAACATCCTCGTACCATGTGATCCAGCAATTGCACTGCTTGGTATTTACCCAAAGTAGTCGAAAACGTGTGTCCCCACAAAAACCTGCACATGGATGTTTATAGCACCTTTATTCATAATTGCCAAAACTTGGAAGCAACCAAGATGCCCTTCAGTAGATGAACGGATAAACTGTGGTACATCCAGACAATTGAATATTATTCAGCACTAAAAACAAATTAGCTACCCAGCCACGAAAAGACATGGAGAAACCTTAAATGCATATGACTAAGTGAAAGAAGCCAGTCTGAAAAAGCTACACACTGTACGATTCCAACTCTATGACGTTCTGGAAATGGCAAAACTGTGGAGACAGTAAAAAGATCAGTGGTTGCCAGGGGTTAAGGGAGGGTGAACAAGCAGAGCGCAGAGGATTTTTAGGGCAGTGAAGTTACTCTGTATGACATTACAATGACAGATACATGTCATTATACATTTGTCCAAACCCACAGAATGTACAACACCAAGAGTGAACCCTAATGTACCCTGTGGACTCTGGGGTGATGGTGACGTGTCAATGGAAGTTCATCAATTGTAACAAATGCACCGTCTGATGGGGATGTTGATAGTGGAGGAGACTGTGTGCATTTAGGACATTTACAGACACCATGAGGAAAACCACCAGGAGATATCACTATATCCCACAGATGTGAAAGCCTCAAATCTGACAGCCCCCGATCCTGGGAAGCTGAGGCCACAGGAAGTTCCAGACCCCGCAGGTGAGACTGTGCCAGGTTGACCTGTGGACAAAGGCTGGGTATGGTCTAGTGAAGTCAAAGGTGTGCGCCCCCATGAGCCAGCACCTCCATGTCATGGCACACGCCCCAATGCACGTGCACATGCCCCATATATACATACAAGACCACAGGACACGCCCCTAACGCACGTGCACGTTTCCCACATATACATACAAGACCTTGGCACGTGCCCCCAATCCACATGCACGTGCCCCACATATATATACAAGACCTCGGCACACGCCCCAATCCACGTGCGTGTGCCGCATATATACACACAAGACTGAAGCACACACCCCTAATGCACGTGCACATGCCTCACATATACATACAAGACTGCAGCACATGCCCCAATCCACGTGCATGTGCCCCACGTATACATACAAGACCGCGGCACCCGTGCCCCTAATCCACGTGTGCATGCCCCACATATACACACAAGACTCACAGAACCTCAAAACGTGGAGACAACCCAATATCCGCCACCAGTGAAAGGGGCCATTACATCGTGACACATTCACGTGCTGGAACCACATGGCAAATAAATGGCCACGTGCACGCATCATGCATCATAATGCTCACAGAAGAAGTCACATACCCTGCAATTCTGTTCCTACGAAGCCGAGAACGGGCCAAGCAGTACTGTCAGCAGGCTCAACGTGAAGAAAAGCAAGGAGGATCTGCCTGAGGGGCGGAGGAGAGAGGGCAGCCCTAGGCCATGGCCTGACTGGGCCGTGGCCTGACCAGGCGTGGCCTGCCTCCCGTCCCTGCCGTCACACGGTGTCTCTCTGGGAGGGTCACCACATTCTACCTTTGCTTTAAGCATTCTTTCTATGTGTGCATTAAATTTCAGGATTAAAAAGTTGTAGAAAGTGGAAAAGAGAAATACATACAAAGCTGTGTTCCCCCAAGAAGCCACTGAAAAAGCGAGGGCCTGTGCCCCGGACTTTGTCCTCCTCCGGGGGTCAAGACAGTGTGGCCGACTGTTTCCCCTAATCAGAGGGGTCTCTGCTCCTGCCCCTTGTGTTTCCATCCCTATGCCCAGAGGTGTCGGGATGGGGCTGCAGACGGCTGTGGGCGGGGGCAGCGGAGAGGGCTGTGCTGGGTGACCACAGGCCCTCAAGATCCAGCTAGGGGCCATTCCTCAGGGTGATGATGGTGAGTGTTCTCGTTGCCCAAGCACGTGCCTGACTCCTGGCTCTGCTCCGCATGCTTCACGTGCATCTGCGTCATACGAGACACAATGCGCAGACCACAGTGCTCACCCTTCAACATGTACGCGTCAGTGGCTTTTAGTACATTCACAAGGTTGTGCAACCATCACCACTATCCAGTTCCAGGACATTTCTGTCAATCCAAAAGGGAACACCATGCCCACTGGCAGCCCCCCTGACACCTCCCACATCACCAGCCTCCAGCCCGGGTCCTCTGCCACCGAGAATGAGGCACGGTTAAGTTAGCAGAGGACGGGGCTGGGGTGAGACCCCACCAAGACCCACCCCAGGGTGGTGCTCGTCAGAGCTGGGTCCAGGTCCTGAGGAGCATCAGGACTCAACAGGCCCTGGCCGGAGTCCATCGCTGTGAAGGTGAAGACTTTGGCAGAGATGGGTCCCCCCAGGGAATGGCACCCAGAACAGGCTGTAGGCCAGGCATGGGCACATGCCTGTGCAGAGGATGGGGGCTGTCCCTGGGGACTGCGGTCAGGTGTGTGCAGGTGCCGTGTGCAGAGGGTGGGGGCTGCCCCTGAGGACTAGTGTCAGGTGTGGGCAGGTGCAGTGTGCAGAGGGTGGGGACTGCCCCTGAGGACTGAGTGGTCAGGTCTGGGCAGGTGCTGTGTGCAGAGGGTGGGGGCTGCCCCTGGGGACTGAGAGATCAGGTGTGGGCACCTGCGTTTGCAGGGGGTGGGGGCTGCCCCTGGGGAGTGAGGGGTCAGGTGTGGGCAGGTGCTGTGTGCAGAGGGTGGGGGC